TTCCATGTGTGTCAAGTTGTGATCCTTATCGAAAATGGTTTTGAAAAGTTTTAATAAAAGTTGATTTTGTTCAAATTAATCTTTTTCAACTTAGACCATTTTTGGACCAAAAGAAAAATTTTCATTGCCCAGAACTTCAATTTCATTGATTTCAATGCAAAGTTCTCTAACTCTTGAAAAGCTTCACAAAGTTGTTTTTTTATTTTATTTTATTTACTTTTCATTTCTTATCTATTATTTTTTTTCCAATTTAATTTTTTAATTTAATTACATCCGTATACTAATAAATTTGCAAGTTTCTGGCATCATCTACATCGTCTCCTTTTTTCTTTAGCCCATAGTATTGAACACACAGCTACAATAGAATAGGTGGTAGGTATTGGATAAGTGAAATTACTATATTACCCTTTCTATTTTGTTCTTATGTAACAACTTTTCATTTAAATCAACAGGGACAAAAATAGTCATTTTGCACACCAATATCACCCCAATTATACACATTCACGGCTGATGATTTGCGAAGTATAATAACACATGTCATGCGAAGTACAATAACACATGTCATTCCTGTTACGATTCTTTTACTAAATTAATAAAATGTAATAAAAGGAAAAAAAATTGATAATGTTTTGTGAAGTTTACGTTATGATTTGTATTTTAAAATATTAAACGTACTTATTTATGTTAATTTTTATTAATATGTATTCTCAAAAGTTGTTGACTTTAAAAAAATTTTAGAAAAAAATAAAAAATGTATTGTACAAGATGTTTGTATAGGCCTAAAAAATGAATTGACAGAAAAATTAATTGACATAAAATAATTGACATAGAAGTTATTTCAAAGAAAAAATTATTTGAAAAAAAAATTATTCAAAAAAATTACTTAAAAACAATTAATTTTATTAAAAATTATTTTTTTATTTGAGTATTTTAAAAATAGTTTGGTTATGACTGTTGATCAAAAATATGGATATCGAGTTATGAGTTGTATGTTTGATTATTAATTATAAGTTGAATTAAGTTTTGAAAACTATTTTGAAAACTCATCACCAAACAAATTTTCTTATTTCACATGTCACATCAAACTTTCAAAACTCAATTTCACACTCAATTCAACACTCTATTCAAAAACCATAACCAAACAAATTTTCTACACTCAAATCACAATTCCACAACTCACAAACTCAAAATACAACTCATACTCTCAAATCATATTTACAAAACTCTACCAAACGCAATCTTAATTTTTTTTTGATAATATAATTATTATATTTTAAAATTATTAATTTTTTAAAATTACTCTTTTGATGGCGCATTTTTTTGGGAATGGTGATGCTACATGGACCTAGGGCTGCTATTGTGCCTAACGCATAGCAGCGATCTGTTGTGAGTCTGTGGGGACTTTTTCTGAGTCTTTTCGATAATATGAATTGTGCATATTGTAGGGTTCATTGAGTATAGCATCTATATAAAAAATCAAGTTAATCAGAAATCCGTAACCCTATGATCAGATTGTTTTACAAAAATTACCGAGATAATGTTAACCGTTTATTTTTTAAAAAACAAATATACTCTTGTTATAAAGTTATAGATTTCCAATCAATTTAATTTTTTGCATGGATGATCTATTTAACAAACCCTATAATATGAACGGTTCAGATCATCAAAAAAGACTCGAAAAAAATTCTACATGGGAGCACAGCAGCACCCCCAGGTTCGGTGCTACATACACCAATTAGTATACTAACTAATGTATCAATATTAGTTATGACATTATATTATTAACCTCACTCATTATACAAATTACAAATACCAAAAATCTCTTAAATTATGCCACACCATCAATTGGTACACTAATTAATATACTAATTGGTGTATATAACATTATTCTTTTGCGAATATCAATTGTCATAATTGTATTTTTTATTATTATTAATGAATTTAAAAGAAGGGCAAAATAATAAATTTATATTAATTTATTACTTAATTTTTAAAAAGAGACTAATATTTTAGGACGGATAGAGTGTATTTTTGGAGAAATTATACAATAAAAAAAATCTTGACCATTTTAATTAATTTTTAATTTTATCAATTTAAATCCCAAACTTTTGCTTTGTTTTTTATCTAAACTATTTGTCTATTTTTGTTAAGTAAAATTAATAGAAAAATTAAGATAAATTACAAACACACCCCTTGAGATTTACTTACAAATTACCCTCTGTGGTTTTAGAAATTACATTATACTCTCTAAGGTTTCTAATTTCACACAAATAGTTCCTTTTATTAATAATCATCAAGTTAATTAATAGTTTTTAATAATATTAAAATCTTATTTTAATTAATAATTTAGATAATTTTATTATTGTATAAGTGAACAGTTAGAAATTTTACTTTTTTAATTAATTCTGTTAAATAAAAAATTCTGGCAGGAAGGTATTTTTTAATTTTCCAAACCATAATGGGCAATTCGTATTTTAAGCAAACTTCAAGGGATGTATTTGTAATTTATCCAAAAAATAAATATTTTCTTCATTAAACTCAATGAAAAATGGTATTTTAGACATTTTTGG